TTGTGGATCACTAAATAAATGATGCTAATATGATATGGAATGCAGGAAAAAGGGTTGTGAGGAGGAGGAATGGTAACACTGGCATACTTAAATTCATAGGAGAATTTATCATATGCTTTCTTATAGGACCTGGATATAACTTTTGGGTCTACCATATGCCAGCTCCATGACATGACACAGGTCATGTTACTCAAGCCTCTGCTTCCTTTAGTGCTGATAATGTGCTACATAGCATTACATAATGATTAAATAAGATAATACAAGTAAATCATTCAGGACCAGATTTTGAAATATGGTAAGCACCCAAGACAGAATAATGTATTACTATACATAAATGTAAAAGAGGATGAATCAGTAGATACAAGCTGAAGAAAGATGAGTTAAGTGTTTCTACAGGATCCAGAGAGGCAAGGTTATAAATGTTTTAGGGAGGATCAGTCATGCATAAGAGGAAGGATGCTTCATCTGAAGGACTGTAAAAGTTGTAAGGGTGATTTTCTACAGGGAATTTGCAGTCTCAGAGCGGCTTCAGCAGCAAGCCATGTGTTGTTGGTAACGTGAAGCCTTCCTCCAGGGAGAACTCTGTGAAGCTGCACACCACATGCCATCTAGTATGGCCTGAATCCTAGTGCCCTGTGACCCCTGAGAGTTACTCACCGATATATACAGCCCATTTCCACAACTGCTTATCACTATACATTTGTCCAGGACCAATCTTCTCGGAACCATACATCAGTGTTTCTCTAGTTTCTCTATACCTGGTGGATCATTCCTGCTTAGTATTCAAATACAACATATCTGCTCCATGCACATGAGCTGCATTCCCCAGTGTTATCCAAAAGCCTAGGATCTGTCCCATTCAAGCATTTCTAGGGAATGTGGGACCATCACACTTGAGAAAAGCTACAGTGAACCTCACTCCTCTCTCACAAGGCTGACTCCTGAGAGCAGCCCTTTGCTGAAGGGAAGGTGCCTCATGCTACGCATTATCATCAGAACTTTAGACGTCAATCCCACTAACTTCTCTTTTCCCCTTTCCTCCACCTAGAGACAAGATTTTTCACTGGGAACCATATTTTGTAGCAACCAACATTGTTCAGTCATAGTTTCAAGGCAAGGCCATGTTTTTCTTGTTAATATCAATGAATAATCTGTGTTGTACAAATCTAACAGTGTTTTTCTAATCTCAAAACTGATTTTATAATATTATGACCCAAAACTCTTCAACATGTACATATTTAATATATTCTAATTGAATGCTTACAATAACTTCTTTCCCTTTATTAAGACCAAGACAAAAATCTAACATTGAAAACAAAACACCCTAGAAAGCATCTTTGCTTTAGTTTATATTTAAAAACCAAACTTGTGTTCTGTGAAATAACCAAACCAGTGATGTCAGGTTCTGCTATGAGAGCCATTTCAAGTGATCCGATAATCTCAAGCCATTGCTTGAGATAATAGTAACCATCCAACTCTTTCAAGGCCCCTCTTTCTAAATATCCCATGACTCTAAGCCTGAGATGTGAATAATGTCATACAAGGCAAAATAACACTTTACCTGGTGGAGCAGTTGCCTGGGAAGGATCGCCATAGTGCCCATAATGAGGTGGAGAGAGGCCTATTCCTGGCTGGGACTGAGAATAGGGCGGTGTGGCCACATAACCTTGTTGACTCATTATGAAAATATCATTCCAAAGGACAATTCCACCAAAGAACCCTGCAACAGAAAAACAAAACATAGCGAGAAGCTCAGTTATTGAATTCTAGTGCACATACAAGCACTGCTTATAAATTTATGATGCTTAGAGGTAAAGTACAGGCATCACGTGCATGAGGTACATCATATCATACAAAAATCATATCACTATCTCTTAAAAAAGGGTTTAACTACATAGCTCTTCACAACTTAGTAATACCACTTTCATAATCCTGGGCAAATTCTCGGTCGTAAAACTTGAACAACAATTGCCAACCACTTTTTCACTGGAAGCCTGAAGGGTCTCACAAACAGCCTCTGCTAAGTGTTCCAGCTGTGTCTTTGCTTTTGTATTCCTCGAACACATCTCAGCACACACGTCAATGGATAGTAGACCACCGAAACTACAAGAGGGCTGCAACTCGCCGATTTATGACTCGGATCTGTCCTAGTGCTCTCCTTATTATAAATTTCAATCTACTAGTTGGGACAAGAGAAATCCTAGTACAAAAAATATAACAGAAGGTAAAGTTGGCAGTAGTCTTTTTATGTCTCAATTTAACCAAGCCCAGTGACAAGTATAAGAGTTTAAGAGTTAGCAGTGGTTTCTCTGTTAAAGATGACAGAATTTCTTTCTGGATTAATGCTAGTACACCTCTAAGAACATCTGCACCTATATTTAAGGAACTAAAAAAAAACTGTAATTCCATGTACAAAAGTGCACACAAATGCAACATTCATCGTGTGTCTACTCAGAGCCCAAGCGTCAACTTGCTTAAATTTTTTATTTTCCCAGATTTTACAAAATCTTATGTCATAAGAAGCTTTTCGGCAAACATTTTACAACACGATGGGAAGTTGTCTGAAGTGTGGCAAGAGGAGTAGGTGTTCACTCTGGGTCTGCCAGAACCTAGCTGTGCAACATCCAGTAAGCCAGGAACCTCTCTGGGTTCCAGTTCCAGACAGAAACCTTCCAAAGGAAGCTTCCAAGAGTTTTCGCGTAGAAAACTTCCTTTTATCCTGCCCTGTCATATGTAGTCTTCAAAAGCAAGGGAAGGATTGGTGATACCTGCTAAGACTTGGAATCCTTCTATACCCAGGGAAGGGTGTTAACATTTACATTTTAAAAGTCTAAAATTTATGATTTGGTTGAATTTTCATATTAAGTTATGTTTCCAAAACCAATGCAATCAAGTAAAAAAAGTGATGAGGCTGCTGCTAGGTCAGGGAGAACTAAAAAGAACAGCGAAGCGCGCAAAGGCTTGCAGGTCCACTTTGTTCCAGACACTCCGCCTCCTTCCACTTAGCGGAGGGAGACGTGGCAGCCCGAGCTCGGTCCAGCTCAGGAAGCCGGCACCGCGCACCGACGCGCAGCCTGTTGCTGGGCGACCCGGCCGGGCAGCGCCGTCCGAGGCCCGGAGGCGCAGGAAGCGCCGGTCCCTCTGGGGGTCCCGGGGAATTGGCTTCCTCCGGCCACCACTGTGCCACGTCAAACTTCCTCACCCCAGCCCCAAGTTGCAGGGACCTGACTCAGCCCCGGGAGGCGACGTGGCACCAGGCCACCTGGCGCAGCAGGCCTGGGCCGGATCCGGGAGCTCGCATCCCGCAGGACCCGGCCCACGGCCGCCCGCGACCCGCCGGGAGCCCCCGGGTCTGGGCCCCCACCGGCGTCGCCGGGGCTGACACGTCCACCGCCAGCGCTGGGCGAGGACGCGGCTGCC